AGCTTCCCCAAGATCAAGGTAAGACTAACGGGCCTATAGTTTCCTGGGTCCTCCTTCCTCCCTTTTTTGAAAATGGGAACTATATTGGCCCTTTTCCAGTCCTCTGGCACCACACCAGAGCACCACGAGTGCTCATAAAGCCGTGCCGGGGTCCCACAATGACCTCTGCTAATTCCCTCAGCACTCTGGGGTGGAGATCGTCCGGACCAGCTGATTTAAATATGTCCAGTCCCTCCAAAAGTTCCCTGACTAGATCCTCCGTGACCCTAGATCTGGGTGCGCCTCCCCTGGGGCCTACGGAGGTCCCGGTGGGGGGGCTCAGGAAAATGGAGGCAAAGAAATTGTTAAATAGATTAGCTTTGTCATCTGGTGTGACGACCAGATTTCCTAGCGTGTCTTGCAGAGGCCCCACATTACCCGGTACCTTCTTTTTACCCCCTATGTATTTAAAAAAGGACTTCTTGTCATCCTTGATCTGGGTCGCTAGTCCCAGTTCTATCTCCACCTTGGCCTTCCTGACTGCCCGCCTGCAGCCCCAAGCAACCGCGGTATAGTCCTCCCTGGTTATGGCCCCTCCCTTACATTGGGTGTATGCCTCCTTTTTAGCTAGTTCCTGTATGCTTTTGGTGAGCCATGGGGGCTTTTGTGCCCTCTTGCCTGCTATGATCCACGTTGGGATTACCTTCCTTTGGGCTTGGAGGATCGTCTCCTTAAGAAACAACCACTCTTCTTGGACCCCCGACTCCTCTCCCCTCTGGGAGAGAGGATTGATGCCTTTCAACCTCAAAACCCTTACAAAGATGATTCATATTCTGTAAAGCAGACCAGTATTTTTCTTGTTATCCTCAAAGACCTATGTGCTCTGCTGCAGCACTAGAGCAAACTAAAAATTCCTTGGCAGTTTTAAATTAAAATGATTGAAATTTTCATTTAGAGGACAATCAATTCAGTAGGTTATGCATTTATTTGTTTCATTTTATACTTTCCCCACATTTTCTGTATTCTAAAGCTTTTTTAATTATTGATAATACATAAGTGCGTTTCTTTAAGGGGAGTTGGGGCTTTGAACATCTGGGACTGTTTTATCAAATGTTCAGCCCTTTCAGTTATCATTTAACTTTATTGGAAGTTGAGAGCACTCAGCTCCTGAAAGATGAGCTCAACATCTTGTAAGATGCAACTCCAGGAGTGGAGCAGTGATGCTATGAATGCATTAACTATGTTTGGTTAAATAATATAGAAGTTGACACTTCAGGAACAAAGATCTGATTCTGTGATTTTCAACATGTTCACCTCTTAGGTCTTGGACCTGCTTACTGAAGGAAGTATTATTTCAGGCTGTCTAGAAGACAGGAAGATAACACTGCATCAGTTATATCACAGACTAAAAACATAATTGGATTTTTTTATATTTTAGAGCAAGAGTGCTCAACCTCCAGCCTGTGGGCCAAATGCAATTCATGGAGCCATGGCATCTGGCCTGTGGGATTAAGGAAATTTGGCAACGGGAACAGTAGTAATTAATACTGGCACCTTGTCCCCCGCTGCCAGATTCCCAAGCCCCATAGCTGGATTAGAACCAGGCCATGCCCTGATCCCTCCATGTGGCCAGATTGGAGCCAGACTACACCTTCCCCGCCCTGCTAAATTGGATTGAGGCTAAACCATGCCCATTCACCCTTACAGCTGGATTTGGAGTCAGGTCATGATCTCTTCCTCCCACAAAGCTAGGTTACAGCTGAACCAAATCTCCTTCCCTTGTGTGACTGAATTGGGGCTGGGCCAGGCTGGTCTCTGCCCCCCTCTACAAGGCCAGATGGTGTTGTTCTGTGCCCTGCCTCTTTATGCCAGATCAGGACCAGCAGCCAGATCTAGCCCATGGATAGACCACACACTGCCTGTCTGGCTTTCCAGGCAAAAAGGTTGAGCACCATTGTTTTAGAGTATAATATTGTGGCAAGGAGTATATCGTGTTGCATATTTTCTGGCTGCAGAACACAGAGTCCTGATAATCTTAGAATCATTTAAAAACATGAGAAAATGGGGCAGAGAAGAGTTGTTTTATTAGCTTATAGAGGGGATCATGGCCTGCAATTATAGCCAGGATACAATTCAGAATTTCCTGATTCCCAGTTACAGGTGTTTCTCAGACTAACAAACCATTCTTTTCCCCAGAAAATTAATATAGGGCCACTTACTAGGGAATTGGTTGTTTGCTTTTAATTCAGTTTTGTTTCTGTAATCTGAGAATTATCAAGATTGGAACTGAAAATTCAAGTGTATTTTCTTTTGACAGTAAGAATTTTGGTGAGGACTTAAGGGTTCTATGGTTTCTTTTAGGATAAAGGTAATATTAGGCTTTGTGTTCTAAAGTGAATGTCTACAAATACTGGGAGAGGAGCATACCATCTTCACTTTTAGATGATCATGGTGTTTATTAAAAATCTGTGCTTTATTCGGGGCATAAATACAGAAACCTGTTTTCCACAGATAATTATCTGAAGTGGTATGATGAAACTTACCTGTCTTACCAAAACTGGAGAGAAGGCAGACCTAATGTAAAGAAGAATCAATTTTTTGCTGGTATAAATCAAGATGGTTTCTGGGATATTTACAACTACACAGCAAATTGGCATCCTCAGCACTTTAATCTGCACAGTATTCTTGCCTGTAAAATTGAAATGGGTAAGTAATACGAAAAATGAAGTTAACACCTTAATTTAGCATGTAATACTGCAGCCATCCTATTAAGTTCTACCTCTGTTCTCATTAAAGTCAATGGCAAAACTCCTATAGTGCAGAATCAAACTGTCTGGCACTATGATCAAGATTTGGACAAATATAACTTTTAACTAGTTTAAAAGGGGAAGAGAAGCTTGCATCAGCTGTTAGTATAACTTATATTTGCAGGAGCCTCTTAGGTTAGTTAAATAACCGTAACTGTATACCTGAATTAAACAAGGTTAAAGTTGCATTGCTACAGGAATATGTAACTTTAACAGTTTTATATTGTAACAGTGTATCAGTATCATTTGATACCATTACAGTCTATCAAGATGGATGTCCCTGCAATATTTTTCTAGTCAGTAGGTATAAGAAAAAGATACTTTGAATCCTTTAAGTAATTTGGATTCAGTGTTTCTGTGCTTGAAGTTGTTATTGCACAGTGTTTCTGTGCTTGAAGTTATGCTATCAAGTTGTTATTGATTGATAGGATTTTCATTATTTCCTTGTATTTTTAGTAACATGAATGAAGTGCAGAGAATTTATTATAATCTTAATCTTGAAATAGGGCCAAGAGAGACTAAGCCACCATTGCCTGCTTCTATACCATATGGAGATAACACATTCAAGATCCTTCAGAAAAAAATAACCTGGTATGAGGCACTGAAAGAATGCAAAAAAAATGGGAGTGATTTAGCCAGTGTACACAATGAATCCCAACAGCTGTTTCTGGATGATATTGCAAAACGTGATGGTTACCCACTGTGGCTTGGGTTGTCAATCCATGATGTAAGTTTGTGCTGTCATGACTGTCCCTTCTTGTAACAATAATTCTGTTAAAGTGGCTTTACTATTGTTATGATCTTTCCATACTCTTCTGGAGGCTTTACTTTCATACTTACAAATTATTCACCTACCACTAATGTCAATTTTTTTGTACATTATTGTATTTACATTTTTTTTCCAATACCCAGATGTACTTTAAAATGAACAACTGATTGTATGTTGTCCAAATATATGCCTGCTAGCATAAGGAAGTGCACTTTGTAGGGTTTATGACAGGAAGTGAAAAATACCTTAAGTTCACCCTGTGATTTTGATTAAACTGTTGAGAGAAACTGTTGACCATGTTGGAGCTGGGTCTCGGCACAGCTGTGCACTTACAAAGGATATCAAAGGTTCCTTGATGCCCATGAGTGACCAGAGCTTCAGTTCTAAGTAGTGCCTGGGTATCAGCACCTACTTACGACATGGGGCATTGGTTCAATACTGAATTGGAGGGTATTGATCATTAGTCACCAATGCTTTCAAAATTTTAGCTCCCTCTTAGCTATTTTTGTCTGGCTAATTAGTATCTGACCACAGTAATTATTCTTTTGTCAGGGAAGTAAATCTAATTTTGAATGGTCTGATGGAAGTGTGTTTGACTACAATCCCTGGGAATTAGAAAGCTCAGCATCTACTGGGAACTGTGTTCTATTGGATCTGAAAGGGTTTTGGAATCGTACAAAGTGTACAGATGTTGCTGAGGGTGCCATTTGCTATACCTCTTCAAAAAGTAAGACTTACTGTTTTCTTAGAATATATATAGAATTGCATTTTCACATGCTGCATTATCATTGATCAACATAAGAGCTTCAGCCAGATGGCTCCTACCCCAGTGCATGGGGCTCTGGCTCTAGCTCCTGGCCACCTTCCATCCACTCCACCTGCCCAGCAGTATGACAAGCCATTTGTGGGTGGCAGGCAGCCTGGAGCTGGAGCCAGAGCCCCACGCTCTGGGATAGGAGCCATCTGGCTGAAGCTTCCTTCCCTCCCTGCCCCACCCCCCTCACGAGCAGCACAACAGAGGTAGGAGGAGGAGGAGCCGCTGGAGTCGGGGGGAACTGAGCAGCACCTAGAGGGGAACAGCTCCATTGGGAAGCTGTGCATGCTGGTGGGCACAGGCAGGAGCATTGTGCGGGCTGCTGTGGACAGAAGTGAGTGGGGCTCAGCCCCTTGCCAAGTGCACAGGGGCAGTGCAGGCTGGAGGAGGGGGGTGCAGACAGCACCTGCACTGCCCAGGCGAGCTCTGCTACCCTGTACCCACCTCCTCCCCCCCCCCGACCTAACACACAGGCAGCCCCCCCATGCACACCTGTATACCCCCCCACACACACCTACATCCCTTCACAAACAACATACAAATAAGACTTTATTTTGAGCTATCATGCAATCATCTGTATATATGCCACTCAAAAAAACCCAAAACCTGTATCTGGACAAAAATTATTTTTTTGAAATAACATAATATAGTAGATTGATTTTTTTTTTTTTTTAGTATAGGATTTGTTTTTATCTATAATTTGTTAAAATTAAAACTTCTAAAAGATTTTGTGTGCAGCCCTTGACAGCTCACCAAAACTCAATAAGTGGCCCTCCAGCTGAAATAACTGCCCCCCTCCCAAGATAATCTGATCAAAGAGAGAGTTCTGTTTCTTCTCAAATGTTTTCATTTAAGCTTTTGTTTGAGTATTATGTTCTCTAAAATAATCATATAATAATATCACTAGATTTCTGTTTGAGCCTGCACAGAATATGTACTGATTGTGAACTGTTGAGAGGTTCTTGCTGGGTAGTGTAGAGATTAGTGTTTAGAACAGAAGACTGGTAATAGGGACACCTGGCTTTTATATTCAGTCCCACTACTGACTTGGGTTGTGGCCTGGGTAAAGCACAGCCTTTCTGTATCCTAGTTCATTTTCATCTCCCTTTTGTGGTCCTTGGATAAAAAGTGCTAAGAAAATTATTGTATTAATTTATTACTGTCAGTAGTAAATTATGCCCTCTGAGCGATGTGCAAGGCAAAATCTGATCAACAGAACTGGGGTCTTCATTAGTTTCTCCAAACCAGAGGAATCATTTCCAAAATAACCCAACATTTCACAAAAATAAATATACTTTTCCCAGATTATTTGACTAGGCACCTCTTGTTGACGTATGGCATAAATGTCTCTATTGAGTATCTTGGATCAGCAACCCGTACAACTGAGGATTCCGGATTTCACTGCCACATGAAATCCAGTAAAAAAGAATGGCTACCACTAATGGAAGAGTCAGTGTCCAAAATATTTGCGATTTTTTCCTATACTGATTGATTGTAATGAATTAATCTGTTATATTTGAAGAAACAAACTGAAGGGAACATATTCTGATTTTTGTCATATACCAGTTAGTAATCCCTGACTACGTGTGTGTTTTCTTGGGCAGCACTTCCACAACAAGTTT